GAGTCCTTATAAAATGGAAGAGGGTCAGAATTAGAGAAAGAAGTGTAACACAGAATCAGAGGTTGAAGTGATATGGCCATGAACTAAGGAACATGGGTAGCCTCTGGAAGCTGGAAAAAGCAAAGGAACAGATTCTCCCCCAGAATATCCTGAAGGAACACAATTCTGCCAACACCCTGATTTTAACCCCATAAGACCCATTTCAGACTTCTGACCTCCAGAATTGAAGGAGAACAAATTATGTCATTTGAAGTCCCTATGTTTGTGATAATTTGTTACAGCAGCAATAAGAAACTAATACATGTCTCCTCTTCTTTTGACAATACTGCCCCAATTTTGCTTTGGGAATACTCTAAACCTATTTACTCCAATAAAGCCAACTCTAGCCCGGGGCCCCTGTCAGGTAGGTGACCTAGCCTAAGGCAGTCTCCCCATTCCACACCCCAGCCATCAGGATTAGGCATATGATCTCAGCCAGCCCAAATCAGAGCAAATTTCGGGATTTATAAAGGGGCTACTGGAGAAAAGAGCCTCATTTCTCTTTGCTTAATGTGAACGAGGAAGAATGTAGCCCTAGGAGTCCCTGACAGCCACCTTGGAACCATAGGAAAGAGACCAAAAATGGCATCAAGATGGAATAATATCTATTCCCTCCCTCTATTTCAAAAGAGGGAGGGAATAGATATTAGGCAACCAGCAATATTGCTGCAGTTCACACTGCTCCTATTTGATGGTGCAGGTAATGACTCATTGTTTCAAATGGGTTTCTCTCCATTACCTCCCCCGAGCCTTCTAATACATCTGAGAGCTGAGAGATGGAAAAAGAGTGTAACCAGATCCTAATGCAGGGCTGTTATTCATCTGGTACACACTGGAATGGCTGATTATTGTTGAAATATTTTTGCTGCTGAGTAAATGGTGACCAAATGCAAGTTACTCTGCAAAAAGCAGTGACTCCCTCCCAGCCACCCTTCTTCTGGAATTCCTGGACTTCCCCATCATCCAGTAACTAAAGAGTTAATGCCAGGACAAGCAGGGGACTTCCAGAACTTCCTCTTCTGGTATCTGTTCTGACAGGGTCAGTGACCATGCAATGCTAGTTGGTAAAGATTTAGAATGTTACTCCTGTCCTAGTGCTATCATCTGAACCCATCTATTCAGCTGGCTCCAAACATCTACTCCTGGACAACTGTTGAATTACTTAAGTCAATACATTCTTTTCTGTTGTGGCTTAACCCAGTACAAGTCAATATTTCTATCACTTGATAATTAAGAGAGACCCACAAACACCAGGAAAATGTTATGTCACAGAAGCCAGGGGATGGGAGAGTTGTAGGGAGGGAATGGTCAATGGAGTCAAATGCTGCTGAGAAGTCAGGTAAGAAGACTGAGACCATAAGGAACAAAATAGCAGCAGACACAGAGATTCCAAGAATGAACTAGTGGTTACCAAAGGGGAGGGGTGTAGGAGAGTGGGGGGCGAGGGAGGGAGGGAGAAAGGGATTGAGGGGTATTATGTTTAGTACACATGGTGTGGGGGATCACGGGGAGGACAGTGTAGCATAGAGAAGGGACATAGTGAATCTGTGGCATCTTACTACACTGATGGACAGTGACTGCATTGGGGTATGGGGGGACTTGATAATAAGGGTAAATGTAGTAACCACACTGTTTTTTCATGTGAAATCTTCATAAGAGTGTATATCAATCATACTTAATAAAAACAAATAAATAAATAAGGGGCAAAATAAAAGAAGACTGAGACCATGTAAATGTGGAGATGAGCCCATAGCAGGCACCCAGTAGGAAGTAGCTCCTCTACACTTAAGCCTCCAACAGCTCCATCCAGCAATATTAATATAGATGAGATTTGGTTGCATGTAACAGAAAACCCAAAATAACAGAGACTTATACAAGGGAGAACTTTATTTCTCTCTCACATGGAAGTGATCCAGAGGTGCGCAATAGAGGACAGGAGTAGTTCCCCACCAGTATCATGGGCCCTGGCTCCTTGTATCATTCTGTTCTATGGTTGTGGCAAATAGCTTCCATTTTCAAGGTCACCTCAAGGCCAAAGATGGCTTCTGGAACACCAAATTCCAGGCAAGAAGAAGACAGGAGGCAAGGCAAAGTCAATTCCCGCAAAGCAGTATTTCCAGAAAAACTGTCAACTCTTTCACTTGCATCTCACTGTCCATAACTTAGTCACAAGGCTACCCCTAGCTATAAGGAAAGGTAGTCTCTAAGCTGGATATATTGTTACTCCAAATAAAATGGGGGTTCTTCTATTTCAAAAGAGGGAGGGAATAGATATTAGGCAACCAGCAATATTGCTGCAGTTCACACTGCTCCTATTTGATGGTGCAGGTAATGACTCATTGTTTCAAATGGGTTCCTCTCCATTACCTCCCCCGAGCCTTCTAATACATCTGTGCATTAGTTGTCACTTTCTCCATTTTTACATTTGGGGAAACTGAGGCGTAGCGATAGGCAGTCAGTTACCTATGGCCAAACAACGAGTGATGACAGAAGTGGGAGACAAATCTAGAAGTAACTTCAAGGCCGGAGCTCTTCCCTGTTCCTCGTGTTGCCTTCCTAAACCAGTTCTGACTGCAGCTGTTTGATGATTTGTTCATTTGATCATTTGTAGTGAAACATCCTTAATGTTAGGAGCTATTATGAGGCCATAAAATCAAGTATAGGAATGAATCAATGAACTGTGGTGAGCAATAATCCTCTCCTTCCTTTCTAGTCCTTCCCTTCTCTCGCCAGTGCCCACAGGATACCTGATGAATGTGTGTGAAGTTGCTTCTGGGCTGTTACCCTCTCTGGACAACCCGCAGCCTGGGACCACATTGGCGCCAGTGGAGGAGATGGGACAGGGGGATCAGCAGTTATCTGAGGGCAGACAGACTCCCTGTCATCCTAGAACAATCAGTGGCCCATCCAGAACTGATATCTATTATACCCATGATACAAATAAGGAAACTGAGGCTTGGAAAGAAGTGATTTGCCCAGGATCACACAGCCAGTGACAGAGGTAAGAGGCAACAGATTTGTAGCATTTGCTGTTTTCTGTGGTGTGAATACCCCCACCATGGCCGATTTCAAGCTACCGCAGAGCAGGGAAGAGATGCTCACAGTGGACTCTCACAAGCCAGAGTGAGTTGGCTCTAGCAGACAACTGAACAGTACATGTAACACTATTGCGTTTTTAACACATCTGCCACTCACTAGAGTGTGAAGGCAGAGGGTTCATCTTCTTTGACTCGTCCCCAGGCCGAGTGCTGTCTATGATGGGGCATCATTAAATGTTGGTGGAATGGGAGGAAGACAACTCTTTCACCAGGCCGTGCTGCCTCAAACAGCCACACACACCAAAAATAACACATTGTGTATGGAACTGTATCCACTAAGCTCTTGCACACACAGTCACCCATGCGGAGTTTGTTGAATCCATGGCAGGTGATGCCACCTTGAACATGACAGACCCACTATGAGAAAGGCTCCTTTGGGAATCTGAATTTCTACCGCTCCACCACTTCCTCCTACCCTGTCTTCCCTTCTTTTTAAGGTGTGTGTGTGTGTGTGTGTGTGTGTGTGTGTGTGGCAAGGTAAAATTTATCATTTTAGCCATTTTTAAGTGTATAGTTCAGTGGCACTAAGTACTTTCACACTGTTGCACACTATCACCACCACCCATCTCCAGAACATTTTCATCTTCCCAAATTGAAACTCTAATCCTATTAAACAGTAACTCCCATCCCCCCTTTTCCCCAGCCCTGAGTCACGCCCACTGTACTTTCTGTCTCTGTGAATTTGACTACTCTAGGCACTTCATACAAATGGAATCATACAGCATTTGTCCTTTCGTGTCTGGCTTATTTCATTTAGTATGATGTCCTCAAGGTTCATCCATGTTGTAGCATGTGTCAGAATTTCCTTCCTTTTTAAGGCTGAATAATATTCCATTGTGTGTATATGCCACATTTTGTTCATCCATTTGCTGGACCCTTGGGTTACTTCCACCTTTGACTATTATGAATAGTGCTGCTATGAACTTTGGCATTAAAGCCCTTGCTTTTAATTCTTTGGGATATATAACCAGAAGTGGAATTACTAGGTCATATGATATTTCTATATTTATGTTTTTGAGGAACTGCATACTGTTTTCCACAGCAGCTGCACCATTTTACATTCCCACCAGTAATGCAAAAGGGTTCCATTTGTCCACAGTCTAGACACCTTTTGTTATTTTCTGTGTTTGTCTCACTGTGATTTTCAGTTGCATTTCCCTAATGGTTAGTGATGTTGAGCATCTTTTCACATGCTCACTGGCCATGAAATTTCTCCATTTTCTTTGGAGAAATGTCTATTCAAGTGCTTTGCATTTTTTAACTGAGTTCATTTTTTATTGCTGAGTTGCAGGAGTTCTTTATATATTCTCCATATCAATCTCTTATCAGACATACGACTTGCAAGTAATTTCTCCCTTTCAGTGGATTGCCTTTTAACTCTGCTGATAGTGTACTTTGATGCCTCATCCTTTCTTTTAAGGAACTGATTCATCATTTCCTACCAGAGGCCAAAATCCCCTGACTCATACATGTGGCAATTCTTAAAACACCCTGTGAATGCATTTAGAATGACCTGGCAAGTTAAATAAAAAGAAAGACTAGTCACACTCTGTTTCTCTCTTTTATAGTTTGACATTTCTAAGGAAAATTCAGTGTTACACAATATGAACACACAACATGATAAAGAGCAGGGTAAATAAGGTTGCAGGCTAAAGTGAAAAAGGAGGCTGTGTGGAGAATGACACCATTTATCCAGAAAGGACATAACACATAATAAATACTTACTCCATGCCAGGCACTGTTCTGAGCAATTTTAAATCCTCAAAACTATCCTATTATGTCAACAGCAAAGTCATTCCCATTTCACAGATGAAGAAACGGAGGCCCGAGGAGGTTAAATCACAGACTGGACAGAGCTAAAAATTGAACCCTGGCAATGTGGCCCCAGAGGCCACTTTATTGATCACTTTGTGATACTGCAGGCTTTGGAGCTGGAATTATCTGAATTCAAATTCAAATGACAAATGAGTGTATGATTACAAGCCCATTAGTAATCCGAAAGACATTCAAACTTAAAACAAGATTTTACTGCACATCTACCAGCAATTTAAAAATTGAACAATGCCCAGTGTGCTTGGGGATTTAGGGAAATAGAAACTCTCATGCAACTGTGGGTGGGAGCTTAGACCGGGGCAGCCATTCCAGAAGTGATCTGGCAGTTCTTCATCCAATGAAGTAGAGTGTAGCCTGTGACCTAGGAACCTCACTCCTGGGTTCACATCCCAGAGAAATTCTTGCCATAGGTGGAGAATGGTGATGAAAGAAAATCACACACATTCAGATGGAAAAACATACCAGAGAAGCATCCTGTAAAACAAAGATCACAAAAAGGATCAATGCATCCCAGGTCTACCATGTTATTGCTGTGTGACCTCAGACAAGTCATCTCCCTCCTTGATTGTTTTCCTTGTCTGAAAGATAGAAGATAGGGACCTTCACATCCTGTGTCACAAAGGCTGTCTAGAGAAGAAGTCAGTGCGGTGGGTTGGAAAGCACATGGCTTTTGGGGCCAGCCAGCCCCAGCTGGTCGCCGTGTGGCCTTGGGGAATCAGTTCACTGTCTAAATTTCTGTAAATGAGGTCGTCCAGGCAAGCAGCACTGAGAAGGGGACATTTGAGCAAAGTCCTGAAGGAGGCGACGGAGTGAGCCATGGGGGTGTCTGGGGGAAAAGTAATTCAGGCAGAGGGAAGAGGCAGTTCTAACAGTAGGCAATGATGTGAAGTGCCCCTCACAGTGCCTGGCACGCAGGGAGTAGTCAGCAGCTGTTGAGTGTTCCCCCCCTTTCCCTGCTCTTAGAGAGCTGTCAGGATCCAGGTGACCACATAACGCATCTTCAAGCTTCACGACAGTGACACTCTGGCTTTAGAAGTTCTTTGAAATACTACATTCACGTACCCCATCCACCTGCGGGAGCGCCCTCCCTGACTGACCACAGGAGCCTCAGCTGGAAAAAAGCCATTGCTGCTGGGGCTCCAGCCTGCATAGGGAGCACAAGAGCCCTCAAAGAGGAAGCTAGAAACAGCAAGGCGGAGACCCTTGCCAGCTGCCATTCCCCTTAAGAGACCCCTACCCAACGTTAGGACAGTGCCTAGTAGGCAAGGGTGCAGCCACATGGGGGGAGGAATGAAAGGAAGGGACCACATTTACTAAGGCAGATCTGGATTTGAATATTATTCCACCACTTACTAGCTTTTACCCTTACAAATCACTGAACCCCTCTGAGCTTCAATTTCCCCATCTATAAAATGTACATGAAAATATCAATTCTGTACAGTGGTTTTGAGGACTCAGTGAGATAAGATCTGTGAAGGTGGCAAGCAAACATCTGGGGCTCAACAAAATTAGGCCCCTTTTCTTCTGCACCAAGTATCTGGGAGTCAGCCATTGCTTATTCAGTCCTTATTTATTTTAATTCATTTCTGTGGGAATAAAATCACCTACCTTTCAGGGAGAGAGTGAGATTTCAGTGAGACAATGGAAAGACCTACTTAACATAGTTACAAAATAGGTACCCATAAATGTTTGTTGGATTCCTGGATGGATGGATATATGGATGGATTACTGGGTAGGCAGAGGATGGCTTGCTGGAGGATGTCAAGGGGAACATGATTTATATTACAGGAATACTAAGTCTGCACAAAACCAGGTGTTTTACAAGAGAGTTTATTTTATCTGTTGTGGTTTCAGATCTCAAGGGCATGTATAAAATAATGAGTAAAAATAAGCATAAACAACCTAACCGTCCATCAATAGATGAATGGGTAAAGAAGATGTGGCATATAGCATATACAATGGGATATTACTCATCCATAAAAAAGAATTAAATCGTGTCATTTGTGGCAACACTGATAGGCCTAGAGGGCATTATGCTAAGTGAAATAAGTCAGACAGAGAAAGACAAATACCATATGATTTCACTTATACAGGGAATCGAAAAAACAAACAAAACAGTAATGGACTCATAAACACAGAGAACAAACTGGTGCTTGCCATAGGGGAGGGAAGTGGGGGGATGAGTGAAATAGGTAAAGGGGGAAAAATTGGTGAGAATGTTGGATATCTTGATCTGGGTGACAGTTACATGAGGGTATACACATGTCAAAACTCATTGAGCTGTACACTAAGATTTGTGCATTTTATTGTATGCATGTCAATAAAAAAAAAGCAAGCATAAATGCGCAGTTCTAGTCAGTAGTGAACTACATTTATGACTCTGTGCCTGTGACTCATCTTGATGAGGAGGGGCCCCACGTTGCCTGCACCTACATTCATTCTCCAAGTGAGATCACTGGCGTGAAGCCTGAGATCAGAGGCAAGTGCAAGCTGAGGCCTTCCTGATGTGCGAGAGGGCTTGGAAATCCTGACTGGTGATGGTTCATGGAAAGATTTACAGCTCAGCTTTTTGAATAATCCTGGCACCACTGTAAGAACGGAGAGACACAGGTGAGCAGCCACCTCCTTGTTCACTGAAGCTCCATGTGGTGTCATTTCCACCCGCACTTAGCCCCTCAGAATCCCATGTCCCCTTTAGTAAGATGAAGGGATCAGACATTCCCAGCTCCAAAATGTTCTGATCCTCTAAAAATCTGACATATTCCTAAAATATGGACATGAACTTTGGAAAAACATGTATTAAATTCCTTAATAAAAGGGGTCAAGACTCCTTAAGCCCTTTCAAAATAAATGCATGTATATGTCAATAGTCTGTTTATCCTACCTCCTGGGGAAGCAGTAAGCTTTGGAGACAGATCTCAATTCCAGGCCTCGTGTGAGAAACTGTGAATACACAGATGACTAAGATGAGCACCTCCCCCTAGGATAGGGAAGAAAGACAATTAAATGGATAAACTCAATGACCATAGTAATTAAGGTACTAAATAGCTGGACCCTCCCAGCCCTAAAATACTGCTAGGAGGAAGCCAATGGCCCTCTCTGGAGGAATTCAGGAAGGCTGCCTGTAGGAGATGTTCTGGGCTAGGTCAAAAAGAAGAGAAAGCATCTGAGACACTCACAACCAGGCAGAGGTCACAGAGGGCATAAGGGTGGCTGTATTCAGAGTGGTGAGGAGCTCAGCAGGGTTGTTGCATGGACTACAACCTAAAATGCTCATCCTGTCCCCATGCGGCCCTGTGTTTTGGGGGCAAGTTACCATCACCCCCTACCTTCCACACATAGACACACACACACATGTGTAGACACACATACTCACAGTTCGAGTTTAGACGTCCCCAGGTAAGTGACCCACAGAACCTGAAGTAGTATCCCTGCACATCCTGCTTATTCCTGAGAGAGAGAACTGACTGGCCCAACTAGAGCCAGATGCTCACCTCTCACCCCTTCAGCTCCTATCAGAGGGTGAACAAGAACAGAGTCTCAGCAGAAGGAAGAATCTGGGATGAGCAGTCACCCTGACCAAAAGATACCAGCCTCAGCATGTGGAGCTCATAGCAACCCTATGAGGTAGGAAATTCAGCTCACAGTCCACCAGGAGGAAGTGACATGGCCAAGACCTGAACCTCGGGTCTGTGAGATACCAAAGCTTGAGCATGCTGCACGGTCCACCTAGGCACCATCGCCTGAGTCAAGCCCACAGCTACCATTCAAGCAGGTTACCAGCCCATTGGGAGGCATTTATCAAAATCCACCTAGTAGACAGGAAACAAGGATCCCAACTCTATGGGGACACTGGCTGGAAGGGAGGAAGATTTCTGAGCTACTCCACGGGGCTCTGGGAGCCAGGGAAGTCTCCTCGCAGCCTGGGCCGGTGACTGCCAGCTGCACACCTCAGTGCTCAGGGTGCCAGAGCAGGCTCATTTGCATGCATTTGCCGAAATCCCAAGCAGAAGCTTGAGCATGCTGCACGGTCCACCTAGGCACCATCGCCTGAGTCAAGCCCACAGCTACCATTCAAGCAGGTTACCAGCCCATTGGGAGGCATTTATCAAAATCCACCTAGTAGACAGGAAACAAGGATCCCAACTCTATGGGGACACTGGCTGGAAGGGAGGAAGATTTCTGAGCTACTCCACGGGGCTCTGGGAGCCAGGGAAGTCTCCTCGCAGCCTGGGCCGGTGACTGCCAGCTGCACACCTCAGTGCTCAGGGTGCCAGAGCAGGCTCATTTGCATGCATTTGCCGAAATCCCAAGCAGGCAGCTAGAGATCGCAAGAGAAGCTGATACCTCCTTTCTGCACCCAGAAAGCAAAGTGCCTGCAGGCCCTTGGGACTGTCACTGCTCCTGTCACCTCCTGGAAGCTGTGTTAGGAGGGACCGCCCAGAAGACGGGGCAGGGGAGGAGAACTGGCAGGCTCCTTCCTCTCTGGAGGCCTCACAGGCACAAAGGCACTTTTCAGCCTACGTGCCCTTTTGCATAGGAGACTTTGACATCCGGGTGCCCTGGACAGCCTCAGTTTGGCTTTGAGGGGGCTCTGCCTGCCCAAGGCAGGTGGCTGCCAGAAGGAGATACTTCACCAGGGTTCATTGTTGAGACAGACAGTGTGGCAGTGTGTCTCTCCCACTCTCCCAGAGTTGACCGAGGTCCGAGGCGGGGCTCAAAAGTTTGCTGCCACACAGCCAGGGGAGTGTCCCATTCTCCAAACACCTTTCTCTGCCCTTATAGTGATAAAGGGAGTGGTTGCCCAAAACTTCAGGCCACACTTGCTTGTGGCTGCTGCCCCCCCCCTCCCGGCTGCTGTACTGGGTGGTTCAGAGTCTGCCCCCAAGGTCTGCCCCTGGCTTCAACACTCTTTCCAGAGCTATCAGACTCAGGCACTCCTGGTTATTGTGGCATGTGCTCAGAAATGGCTGAGGAGGCTCATTCAAGTTTTGGATTTCCCAGCAGTCTGGTTCCACCACCATCCCCACCTTGGTGAGGTAGACTCCATACCTAATGGGCCACCAGCACCCAGGGAGGAGGTACCCAGACCACCCTACTTACACCAGGTTAGTCTGTAATGTCCTTGGAGGATAAGCCTCTGGGCCTGACCCCAACAATCAGGGACTAATTTTTGAGGGACATGACAGGGATCTGGTTGAGTGGCATGACCACTTCGGTGCCCGTCTCTGTGGTGACCCGGGAGCATTTTTTGCTGCTTCGAATGCTGTAGAACTTCTCAGTGAGGTGCTTGCGGAACTTCTTGGTGAGAAAACAGTAGATGATGGGGTCTAAGACACAGTTGGTGCTAAGGAGGCAGAGAGTGACTTGATGCGCATCGTTAATAGCCTGGTGGAAGTTGCTGTCCTGGAAGCCCAGCTCGGCCAGCGTCCAGGGCAGCTGCACGAGGTGATGAGGCACAAAGCAGATGATGAACACAGCCAAGACCGTGCAGACCATCCACAGCGCCCGGCGCTTGACTTCTGCTTTGCGCTGCGGCTGCACCGGCTGTGTGAGCAGCGTGCGGATTATGACCAGGTTGCAGAAGAGGATAAGGAGGAAGACAAGGAAGAAGCAGAACACGAGGAAGATGTGAATGATGAGGACTGGCACGCTGCCCTTCTCATAATGCTCAAAGCAGCGTGTGATGTTGTCTGTGTCACTCTTGTTGGGCACCGTGTTGGTGGAATCCAGGACGAAGAAGTAGGATGCAGCTGCCACAATGGCCACCCAGATGACGAGGGACAGGGAGATGCCACGCATGCGGGTGGTGGCCTGAGCAGTCTTGATGGGCTGTGTCACCGCCTGGTAGCGGTTGTAAGTGATGACGGCCAAAAAGGCCACTGAGCAGTAGGTGTTGATGAAGAAGAAGCAGCCAGCCAGGTTGCACAGGAATTCCGGGAGAATCCAGTTACCCTCGTTATGGTAGTAGATGATCCACAGGGGCAGGGTGACCAAGAAGAGCAGGTCAGCTATGGTGAGGTTCACCATGAAGATCTTTATCTCATTGAGTTTCTTGGAAGGGTACAGGCAGGCAAAGACCCACAGCACATAGCTGTTGGCAATGATCCCCATCACAAAGATGATGCTATAAACAATCGGGAAGAGAGTGTATCGGAACTCAGAGTCCACACGAGAGGAATCGTTTGTCTCCATCACTATTTGGGCTGGAAGAGGCAGCTGGTCATAGGATCCTGCCCGTGCCTGGAAGAACGCACAGAATTCTGGTTAACAAAAGACCAACAGGCATTGTCTGATTTAATCAGTTCCAAGACTCCCATTCTGCATGTTTTAAAGTCTCTAAAATCAATGGCATCTTCCAATTAATTGGCAATATTTTTTTTCTTTCCACCTAAAATAAGGGTGTGTTTTTAATATGAATGGCATCTGAGATTCAGTGAAGTCAATAGCAGTTCAGTTTCTTGCCTCCTTTACATTTTAAAATGCACTTTTTATTCCTTGGCTTAGTTTGACTTATTAGATAATCTATTCCTGGTCATAAAATATATGAAAAATTCTATAAAATTTTTTATTTTCTGACACAATGTGAACATTTTTATGATGAAATTTGAAATAAAAATTTATATAATAAAAGGTTCTATATTAAAAAGTAATTTATGTGCTTATGCAAAATCTAGAAAACACAGAGAAGTACATCCGGGTCACCTACAGAATGAAATACTAGCCAGTCCTTAGAAAGAACAAGTTAGATCTGATGATACTGACATGGAAAGTTGTCTCTGGATAATATTGTTACATAAAACAAAACAAAAAAGTTGGTATGACCCCATTACGTGTGTGTGTATGAATAGAAATGACTTGGAAGGATATACCTCCAGACCTGACAGTGGTAAGTAACCTCTCTGAAGGTGAGATGAGTTTGTTTAGTGGGAAGTTTATTTACCTTATACTTTTTTTTTTTTTTTTACTTTTTAGGGGCATTTATTGCTTTAGTGATTACAATTTTTTTAATATAACTTAAAAAGGAAAGTATACAGTGAAGAAACCTAAGAGACAATACTTTAACCAAGTGATGAAGACTAACATCGTCATTAGCAAAACACATCAACGTCACATGCTGAAGAGGCTATGAGGCACTGAAGAGGATATAACATCGCATCTGTGGTATTCTAGCCAGAAATGCATAACCCCAATTTTGTCATGAGAAAATAGCAGACCAACCCAAATTCTGAGACAGTCTATAAAATGACAGATCAAAAAGTGTCAAGGTCATGAAAGACAAGGAGAGACTGAGGAACTGTCATAGATCAGAGGATACTAAGGAGACATATGACAACCACATGCAATGTGGGACCCTGGAGGGTATCCAGGAACAGAAAATGATCATTAGGGGAAAAACTAATGAAGTTCACACAAGGTCTATAATTTAGTGAATATTGTATCAGTGCTCATTCCCTGGTTTTGATCATGCATTATGGTTTTGCAAATTGTTGACATTAAGGAACGTTGGGTGAAGGCCAGACATGCCCTCTACTAATTTGCCACTTTTTTGAAAGCCTAAAATTATTTCAAAACAGAAAGGGTTTTGTTTTGTTTTGCTTTTTAAAGTATATTAAAGAAGACTCAAACTAGCCATAATCTAACTACCCAAAGTTTGGTCCATTTTCAACAGTTCTTGGCCACTGCCCGTTCTCTCTCAGGACCAGTTGCTTCTTCCCCTCTCCTCTTGTTCCTCTCACTCTGCTACCATCACATGAGCCTGGAAACCCCACTAATGTGTGTTTTGCAACTGTGGGGGGAGATGGCAAGAGGCTCAGATGGGGTTAAGTGAGGCCCGAGGCTCATCACATGCCATACACAGTACAGTGAAAAAAGCATAGAATTGGGAGTGAGAAACGAGACAGATAGTTAATAGATGGGAGCACCCCTTTTGGAGCTGGTCACCCTGCTAGATGCTTCCACATGCACTACCTCATTTGAGTATCTCAAAAGCCTAGTAGATAGTAAAATCCCTACTTGACAGAATAGGAAACTGAGTGGTTATGTGACCTGTCTAAAGTCACACAGCTGTTAAGGGATGGAGCTGTTAAGGATCTCAAATTCAGCTCTATGATCATTTGTTTGTTCACACCGTCACCCAACAAAATGCTAACTACCTGTCAGGCTCTGCTCAGTGCCAGGGATATGGGGTGAACGTCACTGAAGGGGCCTGGTGCTCAGGGAACTGACAATTTCATGGGGGAGACAGAGAGAAGCAATGTGAGCACAGTCACTCTACAAAGAAAATGGGATGCTCAGAAGATTTAAAAAAGAGATCTACTTAGAAAGGAGGTGACATTTCTGTTGAGAACTGAAAGAGGACCACAGCAAGAGCATTCCAGGCAGCACGGTCTCCATGCGTCCAGGACTGAGGCAGGAGAGGGCTTGGTGGGTTCCAGAAGTGCCCTGACCTCCAGCTGCCACTCCATCCTCATCTCGCGCCACCTCCCCACTAGGCTCCAGCCAAAATGGATTTCCCAGGCGGGTCTTCAAACTCGTCCAGACCTTTCCTGCCTCAGCCTGCTCACATGCAGAGGCCTTGAATGCTCTTCCGTACCCACACCCCCCTTCCACCTGGCCACTCCAACTCGTGCTAAGGATCTCAGCTGAATTTCACTTCTTCAGGAGGTCTTCACCAACCCCCAACCAGGTCAGTCCCATCTCAAAGCTCCCTGTACTTCATAAATCTTAGTGCAGTTGTAATCGCATTCGTATTTGAATGGTTAACGTTCTCCCACTGGACTGTGAGCACCAGGAGAACAAGGACCTTATCCGTCTATTTAACACTATTCCCAGCACCATGAACCAATAAATAAAAAATAAGCCTTGTTAATTACACCCATCCCTTAGGGAGCCCTGGAGTAGTGGACATGCTTGAAGAAGCTTATAGATACTTACAAATAAGTTTAAAGAAACAACTGGCTCAAACTGGGATTTTGTTGATTGACAGAATTTTTGTGCTTTGCTCCATTTAATGTGGTGGTGGTTTGTCTGTGTTAAATTAATCAATGTAGGTTCCATTATTCCGATAAATCATTATGTGATTCCTTTAAAAACAAAAAACTCACCCTCGAATCACACTGTGAATTACATAGAGGACTGAGTTGCGTAGTTTTATGCTGCTTCCCCCGTAATAACTTGCTGGCTTCTACTCAGCTGGGATCTTTTCTACTCCCAACGGTAGCCCTATCTGATCCCAAATCTCTGGGAAAAGACACTAGTTCTCAAGGGGTGGTCCATGGAAGAGGCGAGGTGAGAGGAATATCTCTGAGACCTTCAGGGGATTCCTAAGGTCCAAACTATTGTCATAATAATACCAAGACATTATTAGCCTTTTTTGCCGTGTCTTGCACTAATGGTACAAAATGGCAAGTAAAACTGCCGGCTCCTTAGCACAAATCAAGGCAGTGGCTGCAAACTGTAATAGGGTCAGTGTTCTTCACAGCCATGCATTCAGTGTAAAAAATAAAAATAAAAAGTCAATTTTATTTTAAAATGCCCTTGGTGAAGTAAGGAAACGATTGATTTTATTAAATCCAGAATACACATCTTCTTAATATTCTGTGTCAAAATAGGAAATACACATGAAACACTTCTGCTGCAAACTGAAATACAGTGCTTATCTTCAGGAGACGCCCTCGCACAGCTATTGGAGCTGTGAGCTAAACTTTTCCTTGGAGCACCTGAAAAAATGACTGGCAACAGACTCGGACTGGTTCAGACTTGGATGTCTGGCAGACATTTCTCAGATATGAACAAAGTGAACCTGTCACCTTAAGGAGAACAAATGACAGAAGGATTTGTTGGCAGTGATAAAATTTGAGCTTTGAAGAGAAAATTAGAATTTTTGCAAAAATCCTATCTGTCAGGTATGTGGGGGGGACTTGGTGAAGGGGGGAGCCTAGTTAACATAATGTCCTTCATGTAATTGTAGATTAATGATACTAAAAAAAAAAAATTCTATCTGTCAGCCTGAGCCTGACAGCCTTCCAATACTTTAAGAATTTTCTGATGAGATCGGTGGTGATATTAATGAATGCAATTTTTTGGTATCTTATAGCAAAAAGTCAATATTTTGGAAAGCTGCCTAATTCAGTGAACCACTATTTTCCAAATGAGGAAGGCATAGGCATGATGTTTCAAAATTGTATATAGGTAAAAGACTCAAAGAGTAAGATAGAAGAATACGTTGTAGTGTAATAGATTCCAACAAAGTTTATTAATATGATTCAGGTTCTACACTGCCACTAACCTTTAAGAAAGTACCATGTGTGGAGCTTTGATATAACATCAAAAAAGAGGGTCACTAATTATCTGAAAAAGACATTAAAATATTTCTTGCTTTATAAATACATATCTGAGTGAGGGAAGATTTTCTTCATACACTTCAATCAAAACAACATCTTGCAGAAGACTGAATGGAGAAGCAGATATGAGAATCCAGCTGTCTTCTCTTAAACCCACCATTAAAGGGATTTGCAAAAAATATAAACAATGTCACGCTTCTCTCTAAATTGTTTATGTTTTGAAACTTTGTAGTTATTTTTCACTCTATGCTAACATTGTTTATTTCACTTTATGTTAACATGGAATGAGTTTATTATTGGTTTTCATATTCAAAAATTTTCTTAGAATGCTTTACTTTTAATTTTGAATATGGTAAATATTGATAGATATAACCCATGTAAACAAAGCTCTCTGGGGTCCTCAGTGATTTTTAAGGAAATGAGATCCTGAGACCAGAAGATTAGAAAATTGCTGTTCCACAAGCTCAGCCCCCTCCTTTTCCTTTGAGTCTGACACCCATTCAACCGGGACTGGCCTTATTTCTCCCTCCTGCTACACCCTCATGCTTCGGAGGACCCTGTCCCTGGGGCCTGAGAGACGCAGGGAACCAGCCCACAGCTGGGCAATATGTTGTGCTCATTCTGGGCCTTTGAGGAAGTCACAGACTCAGCCCCCCGGACCCTCCCACCTCCACCCCTAAGTCAGTCCCTTCCTCTTCTTGGGTTTAGGCTCCAGCTCAGCAGGGTGGGGGCAGCTATCCTCCGGAAACTGTCTCTAGCTGGAGCACTCAACCCAGGACATCCTCCTGGGCCCTGCCCCGGTGTCATGCCTGCCCAGGCCTGTTAAGATACGTCTTCCCACTTTTGTTAAGAAAGAGTCCAGGGCTAGGGTAAGGCTTGTGAGGTACTCACACGGGTGTAAAATTTAAAGGGGTGCCAAAAACCTCAGTATCAAGGTAAATAATATTTCAATGCAATATTTTTAAAAATCAAAATCCATACTACTTATTCTTCTTTTTTCCCTCAGGCTCTAATATGCTCTGCCTGGCACTATTGTGATCCTTTTTTCATTTAAAATTTTGGTATTTTGTTCATCATTGATTTTTCTGGTATAAAATGTTTTCTTTTTCATCTCATCATGTAAATGGAGCACACACACAGGTCAGCCCAACTCACCCACTGGGTCACTCATTCATGTATTTACTGGGCAAGGGCTCACTGCTCCAGGCCCTAGGCAGAGCCCTGAGGCCTGGGAGAACAGACCCAGTCTCCTCCCTCCAGCAGCTCACAGACCATTCTGCAAGACAGAGATTCAGAAATAGATAAGTGGTAAGTCCCACGATGGTGCAGGTCCCAGACATCAGGGTAATTCTGAGACAGTGCCCCTAGCCCAGACTTGAGGGTCACGACTAATGTCCTGCTTATGCTGAAGGAAGAGAGGGAGTTAGCCTGCTGAGGAATCCCAGCCAGAGGAGGCAGCACGTGCAGAGCCCTGGAAGAAGAGAAGATGTACCTTACCCTCAGGGAGCTTGAGATATCCGGTTTGTTAAAACTTGAAGTGTGAAGGGGGTGTGAGGAGAGACAGGGCCTGCAAAGTAAGCATCGGTTAACTTGAAAAGGGTCTTGAATATTAGCCTAGGGAGGCTGTACTTGATTCTGCAGAAAATGGGGAGCTGTTGAAGGATACGGGACATGGGAGGGACATAGTTGGATCTGGATCTGGGGAAGATGGCTTTGACTACTGTGTACAGAATGAACTAGAGGGGCTCCAGACCAGAGGCAGGGAGACAGCAAAGAGACAACAGCAATTGTCTGCATGGCCAAAGGAGGCTTGGACCGTGACAGAGCTGAGGGCGGGAAGGGATGGTGGTGAGATTTATTTGAGAGATGGAATGGTAAGAACTTGGTGATGGATGGGATTTGGGTTAACAAAAGGGGGGAGTCAAGGACTGCCAGGTGCCGTCCAGAGGACTGGGGCTGCCGTGCGGTCTTTCCTCATGGAGGAAGAGCATGGGGGTGCGGAGGATGAGCTCCGGTGAGGACCTACCACATTGGGGGTGCCCATGAAACCCCCAGGGGCATCCAGCATTAAGCCCTGAGCCCAACATCGAAAGAGAAGCCAGAGCAGGAGGAGAGACCTGGGCAGGAGGCAGGGTCAGAGGAGTCGGAGGAGAAGCGGGGAGCACCATGCCGGAGACCTAATGGAAGAAAGGGTCCAGAGCTGCACAACAAGAGGCCAGCAGTAGGAACAGCCACCAGGATGTCAAATACAGCGCAGACAGAAAGGCAAACACTACGTGTGGCAACATGGAATCTATCTCCCGTGATCAGAAAGAGAGCAGTTTCCAGATTAGGAGTTGAGCAGCGAAAGGTGAGGAAACAAAATGCCAAATTCTCATTCAAGAAGCTTAGCTGAGCAACTAAAGGCCATATGTGAATCTTGTTTGTGTCCTGATTCAAACTGACTGTAAAAAATATTTTTTAGATAATTGGGAGAACTCAAACACAGACTAAGTATTAGATGGAATTAAGATACTAATGTTAAATTTGTTAGGAGTGATAATGAAATTGTGGTTCTATATTTTAATATTCCCTATCTCGTAGATACAGAGACTGAGTGTGTGTAGATGAAATTAAACAATATCTAGATTTTGCTTTAAAATACTCCAGGAAAAACATGCCTGCATATTAAATCTCCACTTCAGAGTCAGCGTCACTGTAATTTAACCTGTGACGATGTGTTTCCAGGTGTGTCTGACTTCACACACAGGAAGAGGAAGGCTTCTTCCTACCAGATACTAGACCAGAATCAGCATGGGGAGCCTTAGGTGGAACCCCGGCTTTACCCAAAGCTTTGCCCTTGGTGCCTCCAGTACCCATCACCCTGGCTCTTCCTACTTCTGCTGCCTTCCATCCAGTCCCAGGTCCTGGTCCCCATGTGACCCCCACTCCCTTGGCTCTCATCTCAGACTTAGCACCCTGCTGTCCCTTTTCATCAACAAAATACTTGAAATCACCCAAAATCAACCAAGTCTCCCCTGGGTCTGGGAGCTCATTCCTGCATGCCTTTATTCATGCTCCCCACCCCTCCTCTGCCTGCCTAACTATTGATCATCCTTTAAAACAACTCAGGCCTCCTTTCCTTCAAGTAGCTTTTGCCAAGATTCCCTGCCTCCTGCACACCCAGCCCTCTGCCCGCAGGCCTGGTTAAGGGTCCATGCTCTGGGCTCCCAAAGCTCACCACTTCTTACACCACAGAAATTGCCTCTGTGTGTCTTTGAGAGCTCATGGAGTGCAGAGGCCATGTTCATTCATTCACCTGAAAGTTATCAATGCCCTGCTGGGTACCTGGCATGTGCTGCTAACACAGGAATAAAACAGGCAAGATTTGGGCTCTTGAGGAGCTTATAGTGTAGTCAGGGAAAACAGACAAAAATAAAGAGAAACATAAATAAGCAAAATACTTAAAAATTCAGATGAACTCAATAAAAGAAATAAAAATAGTGATACGATGAAGTTTGCATAAGGAGCTGCTTTAAATACAGTGCCCAGGGAACTCTTCTCAGAGGAGGTGCCATATGAATGTAACCAGAGGGGAATTTACCATGAAGTAAAAGACCTTGTATCTAATTATGCATTTGTAATTTGGCATCTTTTTGCCAAAGAGGGCCCCCTAAATTGCACAAGCTTTGGGGTACTGCAAAACTTGCATGTTCCCCTGGCTGAAATCTAAAAAGAAGGAACAACACAAAAGAAAATCTAGAAGAGTCTTCCAGGCAAAGGGTATCATATGCAAAGAGCCTGTAGTGGGAGTAAGTTCATCAGATTCAGAGACAGGAATGAAGTTGTCATGTTCAAGGAGCTGAAAGGTCAGCACGTTCCTGTTGAAGTGACAGATGGGAAGAGTGTGGTGAGCTCAGAGAACAACAGGCCCCACATGGCTCCACAGCCATGGTAAGGAGTTTGAGTTTTATTCTATGAGCATTGGAGAGCCTCTGGAGTGTGTCAGGCAAGTGAGTAATAATCTGATTTGCTGTGGCTGCTAGGCAGACAACAGATGATAGGGGACAAGAGTGGAAGCAGACAGAACATTCTGGAGGAAGAGATGGTTATGACATGGACCAGAAAGTGGCACTTCCAATTCCTTTCTCCACCCCCAGTGCCTGGCACAGTCTTGGCCAGAGCAGGAGCTTGGTAAACATTTCTTGGGTGAACAAATATCTAGCAAAACCAACAAGACTGACCCCATTTTGAGAAGTGCAAGAGGGCTGACCCAAGAAGATGGCAGAGGCCTGAGCTACCCATGACGTAAGAGCACCAGCAGCTGTCTGCTCCCCAGAGAAACCTCCACACAAGGCAGAATGAGCCGTCTTCAGCCTCACTGCTCAAACTGTTCCTTGGACCCGCAGCCTCTGCAGCACCTGTGAGCCTGTTAGAACTGCGCGATCTCAGACTCCACCCTGGACTTACTGTATCAGAATCAGTACTTCAGAAAGATTCCTGGGGGGATTTGTGTGCACACTGAAGTTTGAGGCATGCTATGTCTCAACACACTGCCAACCACATGCTTGTCTGATCTAACACCTTCCATGGTTCCCCATGGCATAGGACCAAGTGCAAGCTCCTTTCCCTCCTCATCTCCCACTACTACTGCTTACCCTCTATGCCAGCTACACTAAACTCGCTGCTTCTCTAAAAACTCCATGTATCTTCAGACCCCTGTGCCTTTGCACATGCTGTGGCCCCTCCTAAAAGTGCCTTTTCCCCATTGATTTACCTAGCAAAATCTTAGTCATCCTTTAAGACCTAATCTAAAGATGCCTTCCCTCATTGGCCCAGGCAGAATGAGCTGCCTTCTCCTCTGGGTCACCTATTAAATGTTTTTGTAATTAAAAGAAATTTAAAAATATAAATAAATAACATAAAAAAATTTTTAATTTAAAAACTTACATAATATTAAAAAAATTTGAAGACCTGGTTTGAGGCATTTGCTTAGTGTTTGACCTTGAGCAAGTGACTTCTCTCTGAGCTTCAGTTTCTTTATCTGCAAATCTTACAGTCCTAGCAGTGGTTCCAAAGATAAGCATACAAAGTGGTCACAAATGACCAGGCCAACCTCTCCCCATTGGCCCAGCCTCTTGGAGCCAGGGGAGGCCTATGGGTCACCACTGACCCCAGGGGCTCTGACCCACATATTGGCTTTCCTGCCAGCTCCAGACAGGGCCTCAGCCTAATGCCAATCAAGCTTTCAACAGCTCAGGAAGGGAATAAGCATTTGGAGGGAGAAGAAGGAGCAGCTTGGACCACTCAGCTTAACATGCGGCACAGTTCCCATCAGACCAAGACTGAGAAGCAGGCCCAGGCCCAGCACTCAGTTGGGGTAGACGAGGAGGGTCATAAATATTTATGAAGACAAGAAGAATTCTGCCATCTGGATCTCCCACCCTCTGCCCTGGACAACATTCAGCCCCAGCTTCCACTCTCCTTGCCATTCCCATCCTATCTGGAAACATTCCCAGCCCCTCAGGAACCTGGAGAAAGGGCTCCCATCCTCAGCAGGACAGGCAGAGGTCAGGGATCACAAAGATCTGGGCAGAAGGAAGTATGCGGTAGCTACTTCCCCAGTCTGGACTATGCGTCGGGAAGTTGGGTTTACCAGTCAGACCAGCCCCTCACATCTGTGGGGCCCAGAGTACAAATGTCTAAATATTTGTAAGCTATAAATCAGCCACATTGAAATCCACATGCCCCAGCAGCAACTCACAGCCCTGCAAGCTTGGTAGTACATTCAGCAACACAGCCTGGGCTAGAGGTGGGATGTGGGAGGGACACAGACTCCCAGTGGGCACCCCATGTGGGCCCAGGGACACCTTGCTCTGGGCATGAGCAGAGGGGAGGCAGAGCAGGCTGCCTGACTCAGGGCACTGGGCCTCATTAACTAGTGAAATGCAGAGACGCTTCTTACCGATGACCACATTTCCTCCTCACATCAGCCTTGCTAGGTGAGTTTCATGAAATGCCCATTTTTCCAGGAAAGAAAGTCAAGTCAGAGAGAGAGAAATAGACTTGTTCACACTCACAGCTGTGGCAGATGAAAATCTGAGCTCTAAGGCCCATCCTCTCTCTCCTAGGCCAAGCTGTAGCCCCTGCTTGAAGCAAACCACTCCTTGGGCAACTCATCCACTCACAGACCTGTCCTACTGCCTGAAAACAGGAGCTTCAGCTGTTTTGAGGCCCCTTCGACCTGGACCCAGCTTTTACCTTTGTTTCCCAAAGCTGGGAATTGAATAGGGCAAA